AATGATCGGCAAATGATCGGCAAATGATCGGCAAAATGATCAACAAATGTGATAATATGAAGTATGTCCACCCTGCTATTTTAGACATGAGGGACAACGTATCGTAATTTATATACAGGTGGAACTAAACCTTCTAAGATGATATATTTATTTTTTTTTAAAAAAAAGATAATGTTCTATCACCAATTTCCAGCATGATAATAATTGCTTAATTAACATATGCTAATCGCAATCTTAACGTATTTTCTCTTATGAAAAATTCTGCAAATAAATTTTTTTCTCATCCTTATTCACATGATAGATTATTCGTTTTTTTTGATTCAGATGAACATTTAACCGCCGAAGAAAGATATTAATTACCATCAATATTTATATTATAGTAAATAACATTCTTTATTATATGGTTGGAACAATCTATCACAATTTTCTAGTGATAAAAAATATTTATTTCTGATTTAATGCAACTAATTTTATATAATCATTTTCTCTTTATATTCAGATTATTTATTTGCAAAAGTAAAATAGTAGTTTTAATTTAAATAAATATAAAATAAATAATATGAGAATTCATGAAACTTTTACTGGATTATACAAAATCTTGAAACAATCTATCTTGAAATAAATATAAATATAAAAGAAAGCTTATTAGAGGATAAAATTTTTAATACAAAGTATATATAGTGAACTGTATTTAAGGAATTGGTAAAGTTGGTAAAGTTAATAGACTAGTAATTGGAGTATTCGAACAGTCAAAATCTATTAAAGAATTAGGCAAAGTTGGAATGTTAGTTATTTCAGTATTATGACACGTGAGTTCCTTTAAAGTGTTTGATAAAGTCGGTAAGCTGGTAATTTTAGTATGATGACAACGGAGATGTGTTAATGAGATAGGTAATGTTGGTAGAGAAGTTATTTTAGTTACAGAACAATCAAGTGTTATCAAAGAGATAGGTAAAGTCGGCATGCTAGTAATTTTAGTGTGATAGCAGTTGAGAGTTGTTATTGAGTTGGGTAAAGCTGGTATTATGGTTATTGGAGGATAATCAAGAGAATTAAGGGGTTCCAAGCATTCTTGTTTCATTTATGCGATTAATTTTTTTGAAGTTTTTGGTTAAAGAAAATTGACGACTTTTTTTATTTATTTATTTATTCAGCCCTCGGCTACACAGTATCTCCATTATACCTAATTTGATTTGATTAGATTGTATGCATAAAAAAACTTTTCTTGTTGTGCTGCGGTTTGCAGCCCATAGTTGATCCAAAAAATTTTTTTGTGCATATCTTTACCATTTTAATGTTAAAGCAAAAAGTTATAGATAAAATGTAAAGTAAAAAAAAAAATTTGGAGTAAAAGAAAAAATAAATAAAACGCATTTATCAACTTTTCACGAGTTTTGGTCATAAATTAAGAAGGTTCGGTTTTTCTGAATCAACTGCTCAATACACTGAAATTATTCCGTAAATATAAAATTAAAAGTTCCGGTTTAGTTTAGTTTCGCTTTTTCTGAAATTTAAGAAAAAGTTGATAACTGGTTTATAACTTTCCAATATATTTTCCTGGCTCGTTTCGTTTTCGACAAAACAAATATGTGAAAATATAGTCTTTTAAAGAACTAATTTATAAGATGTGTTTTTAAAGATTCATCTAAATTTTTATTATTTTCATATACTTTAGAACATCACCGTTGGTTCTAAAATGCAATTATCAATATCCAGAATGTTCAAATCCTGTTATTTGCCATTCTTGTGTTGAGGTTAGTTAAGTTATTGATCATGATGTAATTGAGTAACAAATAAAATCTTTTATACCGTTGTTACACCAGGAATTGTACCGAAACAAAGATACTAATTATGACTTTATTACGATTTAATTTTGGTGTTTAGTTATCACAAGCGGAGCTATATGGAGACAGGGGAAGGTTTGAAAGTATAAGGTCTAATATTTATTTTTATTAAAAGTCCATAAGTCTATTACCAAGACTTTTGAACTATCGCTTTTATAATTATTTTTCGAGCGTAAATATACTTTTTTTTTAGATACTACGGTAACAAGTAGTACAAATAAACTAAATAATACAAATAAGCAATATCAAATAAACATTTTTTAAAATAAAATTAGTTAAAAAGCCTAATAATTTTCATTACATGTCTAATAAAATTACCAAATAAAACACATCGTTGCTATAACCGCAATACTGCGGTTAAACTACGATAAGCATTTTTGACCGATCGATTAATTGTTTAACATTTTCATACTTGATTCAAAATCTTAGGCAGCGAATTAGTCGATTTGTATGTACATGTGATTGCATATACATCTAACATGTTCGCAAGAAACACAGAGATCCTTGGAGAGAAAATCAGATTACCTTGACTGTTAGTTTAGTCTAGCTTTAAGATAGAATAAAGCATACTCCAACATCACTTTGCGACCTTCGTATATGTTTTCAAAAATTATTGGAATTTCTCATTGCTTAATCCTTACTTCAGCATGTAATCTAATAGTGCTTTGGCATCCTTCTTATTTCATTACCATGAAGGAATGTTTCCTAAGGTAAGAAAGACTGGATGCTGCTGAGTTTTACCTAGATTATCGCAGAAAGCCACATTAGAGTATATTATTATCAATAAAACTCAACTTCCAATTTTTCCGTCTGTTGCTACCAGTTACAATTAGACTGTTTGGAGAAGATTTGGTTCTATGTCTGTATGTATTAAAAAAAATTTAGATAATGGTTTCAATCATAACAAAAAGATTCATATCATATTCTATTGACTTGTCAAACTTTATTAGCTTTTGAAGAAGTTTTTTAATTGTTTTTATTATTGGACGATAATAAAGAATATACGAAATGCCTTCAAAGTCAATATTATATTTATTTTCAAAGTTGAGATTCAGTGCTACCATTGAGTACATAAATTTATGCATTCTCTGGAATTAGTTGGCAAAGATGACTTTTCTAGATTCGCATTTTTTGTTGAAGAAATTAATGAATGAATCTACAGCTTGATTCAATAAATCATACTTGACACAAATCTTTGAAAATTTTCGATAGGTCTCATTGGACCATTGTAGAACAAAATCATCAAGTGCTTAATTTACTGCATCTTCAAACCTAGCTTCACGAAAGTCTTCAGAGTCAACTAAATCAACTTCAATATCTAAATCATCCACAGTTTTATCATTCTAACCATCCGAATTATCTATCATTTCATCGTTATAACCATCTGAATCATTCATTTCATCATTAGAATAATCCAAATCTTTCATTTTTTTATAGTCATTTAAATCTTTCGTTTTTTTCATTAGAATTATCATAATCTTTAATTTCTTCATTACAATCGTCTACTTCTCTTTCTTCTTCAGATGAATCAAAATGATTTAGTTGCATTTCTAATATTCATCTTTTAATTTCTTTTATTATAGATGACAGATGTTATAATCATACATATTCAATTAATGAATGGAATTTATTTAAATACCTTATCTTAAACAAGTTCAAATTTTCGAATAATTTTTCATCCTGAAAAGGTTTAGCATCATCAACTTCATTTACACTTATTTCATTGCTTATTTCAATGGAGTGGCTCTTTCGATGTGTTGTGACAATGATTAGTGTCTTGGAAAGCTTTCGACTATAACCTTCATAAGGGCATAGTAGACTCATTATTACATATATAATAATTTAAAATCGTTCAGCTTAATTTATTAAGTTTGAGAACTGTTTGATTTTTCATTTTTTTTTCATATTATAGAGTGATATTTAACAATAATAAGTAATACATAGATTATATCATAATTATGTATTATAATCATGACTGTTATTATTTTTGTACTATGCTTTATTGTTTTAATTATATTTTCTTATGATGTGAGATATTTGTAATATTTTATCGATTAATTAATATTTACAATAAAATTCGTTAAATAGTTTAAATTTAATAGTATCATTTGTAAACACAAAGTTTAACAAAATTTAAACAAGTATAAATAATTGATTAAAGATTTCGATTCAATCAATTGCTCTCTTTTCACTTAATATATGATACTATGTCAGAATCCGTAAAATCTAATCTAAAAGTAAAACATCATCAAGAAAGGCACTGGTCCAAACATGTGCTTCTATTAGAACGCAAAAAATAAAGAAGGTATAAAACGAAAATAATAAATTAATTCGCTCAAACATGATTACAAGCTTAAATTGACTCAGTTTACATTTATTTTGTATTTTTATATGCGATCGATTCGTTTACATTTATTTTTTAATTTATTAAAATAATCTTAAAAGGACCCAAGAAGGTGAAAGTCAGGAGAAGGCAATTGAAATCCAAGAAACTCAAGAAGATCAGGAGAGCGATCAAGAGAAAGAAGCCCAGAAGGTGAAAGTAAAGAAGATGAAAGTATAGATGACTCGATAGATACTTTAAAGAAACGCAGGCACGATTCAGATATTATTGATACTGCATGAAAACCAAAAAACTTAATGATGCGTATCAAAAATTAGATAATACTGACTATTATAAGATTCATGTAGAGTTTTTAGAAAAGTTGATCAATCAGAATAAGGTTATTTGTAAGAATCAATTAAAGCAAGACAAAAGGCTTGACAAAATAAATCAGATACTCAAAAAGATGCATCATGAAGATGCTTTAGCACCTGCCTTTTCGAGGTAATGAATGTTATAAATGTCATACTAATCGGAGGATTTATGTACGTTGAAGTTACTAACCTTTCATAATTATTACTTTTAACAGAAATGCATCATTGCAATCACCAAAGTGATACAAAAAACATCCCTTTACCCTACCCAAGAGTTGTTCAAAAAGAATCTTGAAGAATACGTTGAAAAAGGATCCAATGAATACATTAATGATATTGGAAGACACAAGTGGGATTCTCGATTCCACTCTGAATTCATGCCAATGGTAAGTGATATTCTCTTTTTTTTTTTTTTTTTTTTTGATAATGCGATTCTTTTATCATCTTAAATTATTGAGAATAGTGTATCGAAAAAATGCGACACCGACGTGGTTCGTTATCAAAAAAAATCAAGTCTGCATTATTTAAAATTCTGTATATCAAGAAAATCAAGTCAAACGCTGGTTCGAAAATAGCAGTGTGGAAAAAAATACCCCGTGCGGTTGAAGCGTATTCAAATATATGGATCACGGTCTGGTTAACATCAATAAAATCATCACGAAGGGAAGGCTGTGCTGAAAAGCCGTTCAACCTCTTTATTAATTGCATTTGCTCTTTCGGTATGCTGTGTTGTTTTAAACCCGTATACCGATCAAATTAAATGTAGCGAGGAGTCAGTTAAGAAAAGATATGGGGTGAGTGCTGAGAAAAGGGACCAAATCGACAAAAAAATTTTTTTTTTTTGAAATAACAAATGATCTGAATCAGATGATCAAATCTACATATATATTTTTTTTTTAAAAAAAAAATCAATTTGGTCCATTTTCCCAGCACCCACCCCATATGTTGTCAATATTATCAATTGTGTAATTGCTAATTCCGATAAGTATTAAGTTGTGGTTTTCAATAGGCATTTTTAAACGATAATAAAATCCTGGAGGAGAGCGATATCATGCATATCCAAAAAGAGGATTCGAAGGCGAAAGACGATAGTGAAAATTACTCTATTGATGAAGAGGCCAATGACAGAAGACTCTTCGACTGGTGATCTTATTTTTATTCTATTTATAAGATTATTAACGCATTATTTTATTCTCTTTATTATATTATATATTTTATCATAGATTATACGAAACGTATTGTATACGATAATTTTCACTATTTAGTAAATTTACTATTAAAAAAATTACGTTATTTTTCATTTTAATAAAATTTATACGATTTTGTACTGCTAAAAATTACGCTATTTTATTATTATTAAGAAAATGTTAATTTTACAATTGAAAATTAACACGTTTTTATTGTCATGCTATTTTATCACCAGTGTAAAATTCTCCACTCGTACATCGTATTCATGTAGCTTTTTCACATGCGTATAAAATATAGAAATTTAGAAATTTCTGATATAAAATCAATAATCCACCAATGTACAAATCATTTATGAACCATTTAGAAGTTTACAACGTATTAAAATCACGCGGTTTTAATTTCCGATCGCCCATATTGTTATTTGCAGATCGTTCGTAGTTAAGAATAACAGATGTACAGTAATTCTCGGAAGAATTAAAAATTCGATATCTTATACAATATTTACAGAATCAATTCTTAATATTGTTGTACGACTGAAAAAAATTTACTGTGATTGTATGTTATATTTATTTAGCAGATTGAATTTCTTTATAAATCACCTTTCGACGAGATAAAAAAAAAAAAAATTTTTTCAAAACTACAAATAAACAAATAACAAAAATGAGTCTGAATTGGAGACAATATCTTGCAATAATATTCGCGGCTGGCGTGTTTGGTGCGATAGCTATTAGTTTTATCTCCGTTTCATTGCCAAAGATAGAAGTGGAACCAGATCGTTTAACTGGATATCCGACATGGCATGGCGCGTTTAAAGGTATTTTTTTTTTATAAATTGATAAGAAAAAACAAAATTAGCACAATTAACAAACTTCTAAATCTTTATTAGGATATGATAGTCTCAAAAATGACTCAATGTTAACCTTCGTCGGTGCAATAATGTTCGTTGTTAGTGTGATTGGCTTGAAACTAGTTCTTAATCCACCGACAAAACCCAGCCAATTTTACACCGGTGATGATAACCAAGAAACCATTTCTGGAGTGCCAACAATTGGTTTCAATCGTTTAATTGTAATTTACATGCTGGCTACATTCATGTCAGCAGTTGCACTTATATTTTTTGATATCGGAAAGCTTTTTGCTGTAATTGCTGTGTCTCATAATGCTCTTGAAATAGCAATGTTACTCTTGATAGGAGGTGGTGGTAGAATAAAGGGCGTTTCATTCTTTGTGTGGCTTGTAATTTATGTAGAATCTGTTGCACTTATTTACATCTTTAATGATTTTCCGATTGATGCTCTCGTTTTTAAAGTTCAAGGTTAGTATTTACGGACTTGGCTTTTTAAAAACTTTTTTTTCTTCCTTTTTTAAAAAAACAATAAATAACTAAATTCTCTTTATAGGATTAACCTTTGATTTTGCTTTGGTTATTGAGTTTGTGCGCATCTATATTACTACAATTAATCACCTTCGTGATGCAGGAAAAGTTAAGATTCCATCAAATTCCGAAGAAATTGTTGATAATGATAAAACTCGTAAATCATTATCCGCTATATTTAATCAGCATCCCAAACAACTCATCTTTTTGATACTTGCATCAATCATACACGTTTTCGGAAACTTGTGGTCCACAATCTTCATTACTTCAGCCATTGCGTATGCACATACATTTTCTTGAAAAATTTCATGTTAAACACAAAAAAAAAATGCTAATCAAATTTTTACTTTTTTTTTGTTGACGCATAAAATAGCAACCTGATATTTGGTGCAAGCTATGCAATAGCTTTTCCAATTTACATCCTTTACTTATATGTGGATATTCGGGCGTCCAGCGTTATATCACAAAAACGCATATATTTACCATCTACACCTGCATGGAAGGCCATTGTAATTGCAATTTATTCACTGTCGCTAGCTTTGTTAACGATCAGATTAGGCTTTATAATTCTCGCTGAATAGTTGGTCTTGCTTGATTTCATATTTATTGAAGATTCGTTTACGGTACAAATATACTTAATATTAACATTCAAGTAAATATAACTCATTTTTTGTTATAGTTACCAATATAAAATTTATGGTTTGATCTTTAATTTTTGGAGAAAGTGACGTACTTTACCGTACTGGTCTGTCTCTATACATTATATTATATAATAATTTGCTTCTAAATAATAGTGATGAACATTTTTGTTGTAGGCCTTTTTTTTTTTGGAAAAATAATTTATATTACATTAATAAAAATAAACTTTAAAAAATTCAATTAGAGTGAGAATTAAAATTTTCGTCATCAACTTCATTATTTGGTAGACATATTTGAATATATAACACTATATCGGACATGAATTCACTTGTCGAGCATGTTTTTATATTTATACATAATTTAATAGGATAAATGTAATGTAATCAATCAACCTAAAATTTATTAAACCCATTAATTATTATTCTTTCAAATTTAATTAGTAACGAGGTCTCAATTTTTTTTTCTTGATCTAACCATTACCTAATATTATAAATAATCCATACCATAAAAATCAAATCAACCTCAGATCCGGAGAAAAAAGTTATTATTTAGTTCCCCCGATGATCTTTTGCGGGGGTCGAATTATGAATTTAAATTTCACGAGGGGATCGGAGGACGGATCCTCATAAGTAACGTTCGAGTTGTGTAAATCTTACCCGGATGTTATAAAAGTTGATTATTACCTCAAGCTTATTTATCTCTTACGGAGAGCTAAATATAAACTTTTTTGTTAAACTGATTAAAAATTAATAAAAAAAGGTAAAAGTTTTTACCTATTAATTTACAATTTTTATAAAGTTAATGATGTTCCGAGATTTATCGATATTCGAAATGATTTTCAATATTTGTAATTCATTCGATTTTTTTTTTTTAAAAAAAAAACTTTCGAATATTTGAGAATTTTAACGGAAAAATATTAACATATTTAAATTTAACGGTTACTCGGACAAGAGAATTCGAAGCGGAATAATTTACAAGGAAGTTTATTTTTTATACCTATTTTTTTTTTTAACCATATAGAATCTATTTTCCTGCAATCAATCAGTTACGGCCATACACAGTGAAAAGCACCGGAACCCGTCTGATCTCCGAAGTTAAGCCACTGATGGCCCAGTCAGTACTACGGTTGGGGACAACGTGGGAATACTGGGTGCTGTAACTTTTATTTCTTTTTTTTAAAAAAAAATAAAAAAGAATTTCCGAAAAATTTTCAATTGTCCCTTCCTGAAAGAAATTTTTTTTAGATTAACACAAATTTCTGAAGAATATATTATTAAAAAATTAATATATATTTGAATTTAAACCTTTTTTTCGTGACATTTACAAGATATCACATCGAATTTTAGTGGCGCAGTAACGTAAAAATGATTTATTCCTTACTTCGAAATATTCAACACATCTTAAGGCATTTCTGATCCCCATATTCAAAGTTGAAATCGATTTTAATTTGATGTCTTTTAATTAACGATTAAAAATGAATTTGACTAATAAATACACAATCGGTTACTATATACTAGATTTATTAAGACTAAAAACAATTTGGTAAACAATAACATGCGTTAAAAACTTTGAAAGCTATGGAATCAGAATAATTAGAAATTCAGCATGAAATTGATGCCTCTTAGAATTCTGAAGATGAAGAATTTATTACTAGTGCATCAGGTAATTTGAAGAATAATTTGTTGATTGTGGAAATCTCAATAAATATATTCAATAAAATATTGGGTAAACAGTTATTTTTCTCAATCAGCTAAACAAGCATACCACTTAACTTTATCCACGTCTTATAATCAAAATAATGCTTTTGAAAAAAACAAAAATATATCTTGTATTTCACCATGTTGTCGACAAAAATTAACTTAATAAATCTACTACATGAATAAATTATTATTCTAAATTCGACCTTTAATAGAATTTATTTAAGTTTTTGCTTACCATAAGAATGATTGATTGGTCGTAATAAGAACGAGATCCTTTAAAAAATAATAGCTCAAAAGTCTTTAATAACTAAAACCTGATCAGTTTTAAGATGACCGGTCTTTAAAATAGGGACAGCCAGCAGTCGTCACTTAAATATAAGTCAGTATATTTAAAAGTATGAATACAAAATGGTGAGTGTTACGATATAATAAATTATTACTTTACGATAAAATGAAGTGATTTTTTTGGTGTGTGATACGCCCAAATTGTAAAGTTTCCAGAATTTTTAAAATAATCTTGAATTTGATAAAATTAATGAAGTGATCACCAACAATTCAATCTCATTTAAATAACAAGAATTTCTCCACATATCCTCTTTCAGTAAAATTCTGCTTCATTCCTCATAAATGCAGAACTTAATAGTTTCCTCCAAGTAGTTTTGTCTTAGAGGATTTAAAGTTCTTCTCATGTATTAACATTTTGAATATTTTTAAAATCTAATGACGAAATTAACAAAGTGTGCTATATATTAAAAAGACTGCCATAAATTTTAAATCGATACCTTGTATCCGGGAGCAACTTCGTTGAATATAGTTCTTTTTAAAAACGTTATCCATTGATTCTAATTTTCATCAGCGAGTAAACTGCTTAATACTGAATTATTGATTGAAGCGTTGTTAAAAGGGGTGATAAAGCTATTATATCAAAAAAAGGTTAAGTTTCTAAGCTGGTTAATAGTATATTTCCGCAACGGATTGCTGTTAAGAAGCTTGGCAAAGTTAGTCTACTTGAAGGAAGTGAAATTATTTTAAGTTTAATTTTGTACCCCACCCTGAGCGTTTAATATGTAATATTTATTTACCGCGAAATCAGAGATATTTCATGGTTACACAGAGTTAAATATTAATTTAAGGTTAGGACCTTTAATTTTTTTAGTTAAGCCGATCTTATAAATAAAACACATCTAATTTCTAAACTGAGAGTTAATTAAGTTTCACAACAGTTTTTTTTTTGTTGTTGCCTTTATTTAGATAAAACTACACTTGTCTGTAGAACATGGGAATGTAATTAAAACATCGATTTCACCAAAAAATAATGATTTTTACAATTATGAATAGATGATGTACAGTACAGTAATTCTCGAAAGAATTAAAATGATTAATATTTAGGCAAAATTTAAAGTGATTTTTTTTTTCCGTTAATGTATTGTATCTTTGTAAATTTCTCTTGTGTTAATAATTGTGTTTATTGTATAAATAAATTTGGAAGAATTTCGGTTTGAGGCTTCGATTTTGAGTAATATTCGCATAACACAACAAAAAAATGAAAATTCCGTAATACTATGTTTGTTGTACAACTGATCAATTCGTTATCAACTATTTTTCTATTCGCTGTTCTATAAAATTTATTGATTGAATGATTTCATTATAAATCACCAACCTTTTCGACAAATTCATTAAAAAAAAAATAAAAAAAAAAATATTTCCTTTTTTTTTTCTCGCACTGTTTTAAATATAATAAATAAACTAAAATGAGTTTAAGATGCGGACAACTTCTTGCAATTATATTCGCGGCTTGCGTGTTAGGAGCAATAACTTTAAGTTTTAGTTTCGTGAAAGTCCCAAAGATAGAACCAGAACCAGATCGTTTAACTGGATATCCTACATGGCACGGCGTGTTTAAAGGTGATATTTTTTATTTTTTTTGATAACTTTGATAAATTGATGAGAAAAAATTAACACAATTAACACACTTCCAATTCTTTATTAGGTATTGATAATCAGAAAAAGGACTCAATGACAGCCTTCATCTCTATAGTCATGCTCGTGGTTGGTGTCATTGGCTTGAAACTAGTTATCAATCCACCGACAAAGCCCAGCCTTACCACTAAATTTTACACCGTTTCCGATGATCCCAATGATGATAACCAAGAAAGCATTTCTGGGGTGCCAACAATTGGTTTAAATCGTTCACTTGTAATTTACACTCTGGTTACATGCGTAACTTCAGCTGCAGCTTTAATAGTTGATATAGGAAAGTTGTGGAGTGTAATAGGTTTATTTCATAATTCTTTTGAACTTGTAACTTTACTCTTGATAGGAGGTGGTGGTAGAATAAAGAGTGTTTCATACTTGGTGTGGATTATAATTTATATCGTATCTGTTGGCGGTCTTTGCATCTTTAGTGATTTTCCGAATGATGCATTCTTTTTTAAAATTCAAGGTTAGTGTTCTTACGGATACGACTTTTAAATTCTATTGTTATACTGTTACTTTTTTTTTTTTTAAAAAAAAAAATTTTTTTATAGGATTATGCTTTGATTATGCTTTGGTTATTGAGTTTGTGCGCATCTACATTACTACAAAAAAACACCTCCGCGATGCGGGAAACGATACGCTTCCACTAAATTCAGAAGAAATTGATGATGATGATAACATCCGTAAATTATTACCTGATACATTTAATCATCATCCCAAACAGATCATTTTTTTGATACTTGCATCAGGCGCACATCTTTTCGGAAACTTATGGTCCACGTTCTTCGTTTCTTCAGCCAATGCGTATGTACAAACATTTTCTTGAAAAACTTTTCATGACGTTAATATAATATATATATATATATGTTCTAATCAAATTTTCCTTCCATTTTTTTTTTCGATGATACAAAATAGTAACCTGATATTTGGTATAAGCTATGCAATAACTTTTCCACTATATATCCTTTATGTGTATGTGGATACTCAGGCGACTAGTGTTATACCACAAAAACGTATTTATTTACCATATACACCTACATGGAAGGTCATTGTAATTTCAATTTATTCACTCGCATTATCTTTGTTAACGTTGAGATTAAGCGTTTTGATTCCTACTGAATAATTGGTCATGTCTTGATTTCATATTATTTTATTTATAACGGTTTTACGTTGGATTATTTGAAGATTTGTTTACAATAAAAAATATTTATATTGTTAAATTTATATTTTCCTTTTAAAATACATAAATAAATCAATGAATTTAGTAATAAATTTTGTTTCAATAATCATTCAAGATCACATGTTTTTTCAACTTGCAGAAATTTTTTTTGGTCAATACTAATGTTGCGTCCAAATTTTTGATTACATGCTGTGGCGGTGGAAGTTGATTCTGAATAATATTATTATTAAGGTAGAAAAGGATTTTAATTAAAGAATTATGATACTAAATTTATTTTTATATCAAGTACTACGAAGGTCGATCACTAACCACATTAAAATTAGTGATTATATAAACAATATTCCTATTATTTTAACTTTTATGGTAAATAAAATGAGATATTTATTTACAAGTAATCTCACCGCCAATCTTAATTAATTGTAAATATAACAATAGATAAAAAATTTTTTCACCGAGATACTGCACAAGTTTTGTGACACAGCCTTTTTTCCTTTCAAAAGAAAAAAAGATTATCTTTAAAAAAAAATGAGTCCATCCCATATTTCCTCAAAAAAAAATATTTTCATCATAGTATAACAAAAGCAGTAAAAATCAAATAAACTATAGATATTTATTTTTAATGACAAAACATATTCCGTTATATTTTTTTGTTAATTCAGTATTTAAACTTTTTACGTAAAAGTAATTGACCTACCTTTATAAGGTTACCATAAAATTTTATTACGTCACAAATTTTGCAACCCCCAAATTTTGATAATTAATATTTCGTCGTACAGAACTAGAAATGATTACTTTTTTTTTTAATTCGAAATAATGATATTTTTTTTAAATCGTATTATACTCATCATAAATTAGTCGATTTCAAATTTTTCATCGATTATTCTTAAATAATTTGAACATGTAGAATTTTGTGCAATTATTAATAGTTGTTGAACTTCCGTCTTCATGTTTCCCCATTGATCACTATGATTGGCTATAAAAGCCCAAACGATGAAATGGAAGAGATTTATCATACTAATATCAAGGTTAGACAAGTCATTGCTAACCAGCCAATTTCAATACACCTTCGATTGTGATACTGAGAACCACCTACTGTAAATTGTATAAGAAAAATTTACACTATTGGACTATTATTCACGACTGCACTATTAGCTATGGACCTGGAAAAGTTCAACTAGACATGGATCCAAATTTTCTTATTAATAATCCTTGGTGGAAAGAACCCCTCACAGTTATAATTGAAAACAACGTCATATATTTACAATACTTGCAAAACATAGTTGACAACTCACTTAGCGAGGAGTTGATCACTAAACTCAATTAAATATTCAAATTCTAAACCCCTCACAAATATATTATTTTTATTTCATTATTTTATTTCTATTTTTTTATAATGATCCTACCGCAGCAAATACTTCAAAAGAAAAGATGATAGAAAAACGTTTTATACAGTGACTTCCATAATTATTGCACCACTTCATTTAAAATTTTTAAATTGTAATATCGTAATATCTATTTATCATACAATAAAAAAAATTTTATTAATTATTAAACCTCAGACTTTCTTTATTATTTATTAAAATTTAATTTGCATATTAATGACTTTTTAAAAAAAAAAAAATCTTGAATCACCAAAACTTTGCGGTGCAATACTTTTGGCATATATCAAAAAAAAATTTTGATTACATATTTTTCAATTTTTCAATAAAATTTCTATCTAACCCTATTTGAATTTTTTTAAAAAATCCAATCATCACTTTCGTACAGTGAACTCTTGATATAACGAATTCTAAGATCTGGATATCAACTTCGTTATAAGCTTATAATGAACTTTTTAAAGAATTTAATTGGCTAGTTCACTATAGTAAGGTAATTTTAATATATTTGATTTAAAAATTCACTATATCA